AGGCTACTAGGAAGAGTCGGCCTACCCATCTACTTCCATCCACTCCCTGTCTAAACGTGTAACAGTGTACAGAGCACCACTTGAACTGGTTAAAGGTTTTCTGGCAAGGAATGAGGGGGAGTGAGAGTCTAAGAAAAACCCAAAGCTCGTTTGTGATCCACAAACTCTCCCAGGTCTTTCAAAATCCATTTCCCGGCCATTCCAAAGGGGAGGGGCGAGCAAGAGCCAGCATTTACTGAATATTCATTTATGGATGAAGCATTTGCAGGGGATGAAACAAGCCCCAAGGGGGCGGGTAGCACAGGCAGGCGTGCCTTGCGGCCTAGCAGGTGGGTGGGGTGCTGTAGGCCTCACCTGTCTTCAGGCCCTGCCACTTCCATTGTGTCGTCTTCCCAGTTTGAGGCTAGAACTTGCAGACAGGGAGCCACACAAAATAGCTGTCTGGGCAGGCAGCCTTTGTATTGAGACCAGGATTCCGGAAAGTCCTTACCCTCTCTGACACACGAACCTCATTTATTACAAACAGTGGGTGTCACTGCCGGTGTCACTGAGTTAACGCATGTAAAGCATCCCACCCAGAGCCCAGCGTGTACTAGGTTCTCACTAAGTGGCTCGGTGCTGGCTCTGCCCTTCCATGGGGTCATTAAGACATGCCCCGTTCAGCCCAAGGCATCCACTGCCCCCCTGGTCCTGCCTCTGCCCCTACTCCAGCTCAAGGAACTTTCGGGGTTCCTCCCCAAAGTTCAATTCCTGACTCTTTGACTGGACAGTTGAGCTCCCCCAGACGGTAGGCAAGGCAAAGTCAGGGACCCTGGCTGCCTTGTTCACCACTCATCTCAATCAAAGTTTGCTGAACAAAGGCCTAGACTTCTAGCCTCCGGGTCCCTAAACATCACTCTTGCCTGCTGAATCACGAAAGTGGCCATCGCCAGCGTGTGCCCTGCCCATCTACCCTCCCTGCCTCTGCTCACTCAGCAGCTTCCATCTTCCCTGCTTTAGCCTCCTCCTGAACCCTTGCCAAGCACAGTCAGCTCCTTGTGCGACCAACGCTTGGCACATGCCACGTGGCTGCTGGTAGTGCTGTGCCTGCTGACCCCTGTCCCACCTGTCATAAAGCAGTGTCACACAGACTGGGTCCCTGTGGGCCCTTTGTTCCCTGCCAGTAATGACATCGGAGAACTTCTCCCCAGGCCAAAGGGCAGCATGATTTCTAAAAGACTCCAGCTCACCCAACACTTGAGGGCCTCTGACCCTGTCTACCACGTCTGACAGATCCTGTCGTCCTCTGGCTATCTGAAGCTATCCTTGTGTGTGCTGGGGTGGGGGACTGTCTCCCCACACAGTGTGGGGGCCCCTGCGGCAGGCTCTGGGGGCCCTGCGGAGGTGTCAGTCAGGAGGTGCTAAGTTAATAACTGACCTCTTCTATGTGCACGTCTGGCACACCGCATTAGCTGGGGAGGCCAACCGCTATACAAACACCTGCAATCTCCTGGGGGAAGGACATGTTTTGCTCAAAGTCCAGGATAGTTGTTCCATCCGCAGCCGTCCTCCGAAATCAGACCCTGGCCTCCTTTCTTGTGCTGCTGAGGTCTTCACGTGAGGCCTCCAGGGTCATGATGAAAAGGGAAGAATTCTCTGTCCTCTGGTCCCCCCGAGTCTCTTGCCCCTCCCCTCGCCCATCCTGACACCCTCAAATCTCATGATCACCTCCTACTCCATCTCAGCCAGGCCAGAGGCAGGGTGGTGCAGGTCATAGCCAGTGGAGGTCATGGCTGGTAGCGGGGCACGGGGCGAGCTCATGGCCAGCAATCCCCTAATCCATGCTTAAACTGTGCCCCCCACCATTTGGGGACCCTCTCTATGGCCGGCCAGGAAAGCTACCTTGTGCAGCAGTACACAGCATGGTATGGCCCAGTCTAGTCTCTGAGGGCTCATCTGTGGTCACTGAGGTAGCTAGCGTCCAAGCTGGCCCCCAGTGACCTCACCTCCTGAGAGTCACATCCTTGTCCGGAGTGTGAGCAGGACTTAGTAACTCACGTCTCACTAATACAACAAGGAAGAATTGATGGTGTGTGATGCTAAGGCTAGGTCATAAAAGGTAGTGTGGGGGATCCCTGGGTGGCTCAGCGGTTTGGCGCCTGCCTTTGGCCCAGGGCGCGATCCTGGAGGAGTCCCGAGATCGAGTCCCACGTCGGGCTCCCGGCATGGAGCCTGCTTCTCCCTCTGCCTATGTCTCTGCCTCTCTCTCTCTCTCTCTCTCTCTCTCTCATAAATAAATAAATAAATAAATAAATAAATAAATAAATCTTAAAAAAAAAAAAAGGTAGTGTGGCCCTTCTCTCTCCTTCCTCTGGGAGAAGCCATGTCATTGGCAGCTGTGTGGAGAGGCCTTCACAGAGGGGGGCAGAGCCACCTGCCAACAGCCACATAGGTGAGCTTGGGAGTGGATCCTCTAGCCTGACTTGTCTTCTGGGACTGAAGCCTCAGGAGACATCTGAGTCAGAACCACCGACCATCACCCCCCCAGCTGCACCCCCCCCACCCCCGCACTCCCCCTCACGCTCCACCTGGGAAGCCACTCTCAGATCCTTGACCTCAACAACAACTGTGAGACAATAGATGTTTGTGGCTTAAAGCAGCTAGGTTTAGAGTGTCTGTTACATAGTAATAAAGAACTGATTTAATCACCTCCAAAGGCAAGGCCTGGGTCTTCTAGGCCTCATTCCTGCCCCAGGCCCAGCATGCTGGACCAAGAGGAAGTACCGTGTGATGATTCCTTTATGTGTGTTACTGAGGTGCCCTAGGTCCTGCACTGGCTACTGGGGTGGGGCTGAGGGTGACAAGGTTATAGCCTTGGCCCTAAGGGCTTTCCCAGTCTACTGGGAGACAGAGAAGTCCACTCACTTATTGATGACTGTGGCCCTTTCACCCCTGAAACTAGCCTCCAGAAGGGGTAACTAACTCTGGTTCAGGTCAGTGAGGCAGGGTATGAGGGCAGGTGGGGTGTGTTGATGCCAACAAATGAGGCACCCTTTGAGGATGAGTGACTTCAACCAGGTCTTAGAGGAAGCATATTTCAAGGAAAGGGAACAGCATGCCCCAGGACACAGCAGGTACAATAGCAAGGTGCACTCTGCAAGCAATGAGGGATGCCAGGGTGATGAGGTGCAGGGGAGGAGATCCAACAGACGAGGCTGGTCAGGTCTAGGGGGAAGATAAGAAAGGCTCTGGAGGCTGAGGAAGACTTTGGGCATTATCCTGAGACCCTGGAGACCATTATAGGGAGCTGGGTTTTGTTTAGAGAATGGAGGCAGGTGCTCTATGTGGGTAGGCAGGAGGCAGATCACTGAAGGCAGGAGTATCATGCATGGGACTGTGACCACCCAGCAGTCACCCAGGTGCTGAGTGCTGTGGCAGAGTGAAGGGAAGTCTGGGGCACCCCGTGGAGCCCCTTCCTCAAGCAGGGGCATTAAGGAAGACTTTCTTGAATAGAGGAAACCAGTATTGAAGGATGAAGAGGAATCTCCCAAAGAGGGAGGTAGGTGGAGGGGAAGATGCCATTCCTGGCCGAGAGAACAGCATGGGCAAAACCTCGAGGGAAGAAAGAGCAAATCTGATACAAGGAACTGCAAATGGTTTGGTATGATGGAAGCCCATGGCTAAGGGAGGAAGACAAATGAGGATGAAGAAAACTGGGCCAGATGATGGAAGAGTGGCGAAAGGCAGGCTACAAAACCTGGACTTGAAGGTGAACATCTGACTTCCTCTGACTTCTGCAGATGAACTGTGCCCCTGTCTCCCCCTGCTCTTTCCTGGAGGCCTACCTGTGTGGACTGCAGCCACAGGCTCCTGGGCCCTCCAGCTTGCAACTGGGCTCAGGCAGTGGGGAGCATCGGCAAAGGACGGAGCGGGGAGAGGGGGGCATTCCGGAAGGCCCATTCCTGACTCCTTCCCTGCAAGGTCACCACGCTGCCTGTGTCCTCTGACCAGCAATGGCCCCTACACCCTGGTTGGTCACTGAGGATGGATTGGAGAGAGCGAGGTGGGGACAGGGCCGCACCAGAGAAGGAGCTGGTGCCCTGGGGATAACCATGGTCACACAGGGAATTCCCCTACACCTGGGGGTCCCACTGCACACTTTCATTTACAGCTGTTTTGTAGATTGTTTGCAATGATGGCCACAGAACCTCTTCATGTACCCCCAGCCCTTTGTACTGTGGCATGGATGCTCTTCGGAGGCAGAGTCTATTCCTCACCCCTGAAACTGGGTGGGGGAAGGGGAGGCTCATGAGTTGCTTTGACCAACAGAATGAGACGAAATGATGCTGTGCAAGTTGCTCAGTCCAGGATTTAAGAGATCGGGCAGGCTTGCTCTCATTCTCACAAAACCCAGCCACCCCTGAATGCGCAATGTCAGTAGGGGTGCGGTGGGGCGTTCCCACCTGCAAAGGGAGGCCCAGCCAATGCCCCCAGCGGGCCCAGCCCCCGCAGAATGCAGCTGCACTGAGCCCAGGGCAGCCTCCAGAAGAACCACCCGGCCAACCCACAGAATTGTGAGGAATAAGAACTCCTTGCTTCGTCAGCCTTGTAGTCTTGGCATGGCTCACTACCCGGCAATAGAGAACTGTAAGGGGCGAGTACTCCTCCCCTTCACACACCTTGCCCTTCCTCACAGCCTTGGCTGCCTGTCACGTCCCCCACTTCCTCCTGGCTGGACATCATCACCCCCTCCTCTGAGCTCCCCCGCTCTTTGTGGTTCCCCTTGTGGCCCTTCTAGCACACCACCTCATAGGATAACAGGCACCTTCCTGAAACACGGGGTACCTTTTTCACCTTTGAGTCTTGATTTACACGTATTCCACGTCCTTCCAGACATGACATGGAGTGGCTCATACATTCAAAATATTATCTTACTGTGCTTACAACACCAGAGATGGGTATGGTAATCTTTATTTCTCAGATGGCAAACTGAGGTTTGGAAAAGACATGACCTGCCCAGGGTCGCTGAAAACAGATGCTCCAGGATTTAAACCCAAATTTACACCTCTCAGATGTCCCTCCTGTTTTAATTACGGTATGATTTGCCCCTGGAGGGATGCTGTTTCCCTGCTGGAGGGCGAAAGGGGTATGGTCCACCCTGGGCATCCTGTCCTTTGCTACTGACATATGTCCCAAACTCAGGAATTCAGAATTCTGAATTCTGTCCCCATCTCACCCACCCTGCAGACACACACAAATGTGCACTCATGTCCGGTCTTCATTCTCTGTGTCTTAACGTAAAGCCTCTCAATTTTCTTGCCCAGCAGAACAGGATCAGGGGTGGTAGGCTGGGGGCTGACGGATCGGGAAGGATGAGTCAACATGGCACTCTGGGAAGATGAGGTAGGGCTGCAGGGCCACAGGGCCAGTCTGGGAGTCAAGAGAGGCTTCGATGAACCCCCCTTGCTGAAGAACGGGGAGGAACAGGAGAAGGCTAAAATAGAATCATCCTTTCATTTGTCGAGCTGACGTTTAGGGAGACCCCCCCTTTCTGTACCAAGGTCGGGGGCTGAAATTACAATGGACGAGTAAGAGGTGCCTCATGAAGCTCTCTGCCCCTGGAACATCAGAGTCGAGACTCAGGGTTCATCTTAGTCAGGGAAACTGAGGTTCAGAAGGAGACCAAAGAGGTCTATATTATCATATAGCCAGTGGCAGAGCACAGTTCTCCTTATCCACCTTTCCGGCCCCTGTGGCCACCAGTCCACAGCTCAGAGGACAGAAACTCACAGGTGTCCTGCATGAGCGCAGAGGCTTCCAGGCCACCCCCACCCTCTGGCGCAGGGAGGGAGGAGTGGAGACATCCAGGGTGCAGGATGAGGGAGCTTGTAGGAGACGGGGCTGGAACTAGTGGCTTCTTTTGTGTCATCACTCAGGGTAGAGGAAGAAAAACCTGGTGATATTTGCTGCTCTCTTTCTCTATTGAATGACATGACAACAGGGGACAGAGGCCTCAGAAATCCTCTCTTCCAGCCATCTCGCATTTACAGAAGAGCAAGCCACGCAGAGGGAGGTTCGTAGGAGTTTTGCAGCAGGAGTACAAATCGCCAATGCCAGAGCTTAGTGTCCCCTCCTGCTTGTCTGCTGGGATTTGGAGCATATCATGGCTGGATTTGCAGAAGTTTGGGAAGGCTGTGAAGATATGTTCAACAGACGCTTCCAGGAAGCCTTCTCAGATCACAACACCTCCCGCCAGGCTCTCCAAGGCCAGCCCTGCCCTCCGGGGAGGCCCTCAGCAGAACTCCAAATGTTGGTCCACAGGGACATTGTACTTGAGCTTGTGGGTTTCGAAGAGATCACACAGTTCCTTGACATAGCGCTGATGCAGCTTGTCCACCTCCTCCTTTGAGGGACACAGTGTCTTCTGCACCTCGATGGGCTTTCCCACTGCAAGACACAGATGTGGGTGTAGGCCCAGAGCAGGAGCCACTGGGTTGCAGAGGCCCTTCCCCATGGGCATCCCTGCAGGAAAGTGCTCTTACTGCCATCCCTTTCAGCCCTAGTTTGTGTGATGTTATGGGAACTCTAAGATGTTATGGGAACTCCAGGATTCTGATATAATAGCAATACCCACCAGCACTGCCATCCAAATGCTAGGCACTTTCCATGCATTATCTCCTTTAATCCTCTTAACAATTCTATGGGGATAGAGGCTCTTTTTATTCCCAGGATGAGAAGAGGCTCAGAGAGGTTGAGTGACTTGTTCAAGGTCACACAGCCAGGAAGGATCAGTTTCAGTTTTTAAATTCTGGAGGTATACTTTTAATTTCCAGACCATATGGTTCTGGGAGCCCAAGATGCCACGAATGGAAGTGCCTGAAGTTCTAGGAAGAGGTGGGCCCACAGCCCCTGCAGCTTTTCTTCCCCACTCTCTCTCCATTTGGCCTGCAGTGCCCCCTTTGTTCTAGGGAGGAGTCAGGAAGGCACTAAGTGACCTCCTTCCTCTGGTTCTGCCTGGCTGGGAAGGTAGCTCCCCTGCCTTCTCCTTTTAGGAACAGCTCTGTTGGCAGCAGCAATATTAACACTCATGAAAATATTGCCACAATGCACAGGGAGAGTCATGATGGGGGGTGGGGGACTAACAAATACATGGATGGATAAAGATGAACAGAATGAACAGACCTCAGACCTCTCTCTACAGGCTTTGTCAGAGGGATCTAGTTGGGATCCAAGAAGAAAGCAAATGAGGAGTCCTAAGAGCTGAAAAAGATGGTGCTGAGTCTATGCACTAAAGCTCATGTCCGTTATCTACAGGAAAGTTCCTCGGGCTCTAATACAAGTGTAGTGATTGCTATTCTACACACAATTCTGATAGATTTAGAATGCCCTTTCCTTATATCCACTCACTCCAATGAGCCTTATTAGACCCTCTGGATCAGAATTAAACCCTCCTCCTCTAGCATGATAAGAAGTCAAATAGGTCCTGATGCAATCCTTAACCTTGTAACTCGAAGGCAGTGTGACCTTTAGGAAGTTACTTAACTTCTCTGAGCCTCAGTCTGCCATCAGTGAAAAAGGGACAATAGTCCCTATTCTGAAGGTTGTTAGGATAGTTGGAGCTGCTACATGTAAGGGATCCAGGGCAGTGCCTGGCACACAGCAGGTACTCCATAATCAGTAGTGACTACTGTTCTTTGCACCTCTGTTCCAGTTTCCATCTCAGAGTGCCTCAAATAGGGTTATCTGTTTGGGTGTCTGTTTCCCAGTCTAGAATGTGAGCAACATGAGGGCAAGGATGTGTCTGACCCATCTCCATGCCCCCTTTGAAGCACACAGCCCAGGCCTCTTTCCCCATAGCCTACCCCCACCCAGGCTGGCTGGGTCTCAGCTCACCCACGGTGGTGATGGGCTGGCGGTAGGGTATAAGGCCAAAGCTGTACTGGAAAACACCACGACCATGGAAGAGCGGGAGGGAGATACCCATGATCTTCTGCAGCCGGTTCTGAATCCTACGCAACCAGGAGCCAGGAGAGTTCTCAACCTGGTCAAATAGCTCATTCTCCCCAAAGGAAAAGATCGGCACCAGAGCTGCCCTGGAGAGAGACAGGAGGGAATACGCGTGAAAAGTCCCAAAGAAGTCCCCAGCTAGCTTCCTGCAGGGGCCCACTGACCAGGAATTGGAGCAGAGGACAGAGCCCTGGGTTCAGAAGTAGGAGACCAGAGTTGTCTCCCAGCCCTGCCATAGCTTTGCTTTCTGACCTTGGGCAGGTCCTGGCCCCTCTCAGGGCCACAATCTCTCAGTTGTAACAGGACAGATAGACCAGAAATGCTTTAGGGAGTCCTCCCAGATATAAAATATCTGCGAACTTTGCAGGAAAAAACTCTCCGACCCCATTCTTCAAAGATGCTTCAAAGTAGACCAGCTCTGGGATATGCCCCAGACTCCATCCTCCCAGATCCCATAGATGTCAGATCTAGTGCCAGCTTTGGGCAAACACTTCCCTTCCCACTGAGTCCCTTTGATCACCAAACCTCCCTTCTGAAATCTTTTCTGGGTGTTTGGGCGTGACATAGTACATTTCTTACCAAAACCTAATCTTCATTGTAAATAGACTGAGAATCTCCCTGCCAAAATACAACCTGCACTGGTCTCTGCTATCTTCCCGCCAAAATCTAATCCTTGCCAATCTCCCGCTGAGCCGAGAGCTCTCTCCCCAGATACCCGTGCATCAGGGCAAGTCTGATGAAGCCCTTGCGGTTCCGGAGCAGAAGCGTGGAGTCTCCAGGCCTGGCGTTCAGCGCCTCCTGGGCACCCCCTACAATGATGGCCAGCAGATTGCCACCCTCCTTCCTGCTCAGGATGTGAGCAGCGCTCTCCTTGTCCGAAGTGACCAGGCCTGGGGAGAGAGGAAGGTGATGGGGTACGGGGGAACAGGGCAGGGATTGTGAGGTGGATGTGCCCCAAGAGAGAGCTCACCAAAAGGGACCACAGAGGCCTGGGCACCCTGGTCCCTCCAGCAGGAAGTCCCCTGAGGACTGGAACTGAGTCCTCTCCCTTTTTCCAGCACCCGCATTGAGCTTGGTGTCACGAGCACATGCGGCCGTGGAAAGCACGTCTTTGGGTCTAGCTACTTCTCCCATTGCACATGCACTTGCAGGAAGTAGACACGTTGGCAGCTCTCCCTCAGATGCCTCTCCCCGAGCCTCCAGCCTCATCCTCCAGGGCTACCCCGGGGTGTAAAGACTCACCCCCGGACATGATGTAATCCCTGAAGAAAGGGACCCGGAACCACAAGGTCAGCATCATCAGATGGGAGCGGATGCCAGGGAAGAGCGAAGGGAAGCCCGTGCTCTCCGTGCACAGGTTGACAAAGGCTCCGGCGGCCAAGACCCCATGGGGGTGGAAGCCAGCAAGGTAGTTCCGGGAGGGGTCCAGCTCAGCAGTCTTGACCAGCTGCAAGGACGGTAACCCGGTGAGCTGGGTGGCCAGGCCAACCCTGACTGTGCCACTCATCAGGGTGACCTTGGGCAAGTCGCTCCCCCTTTCTGAGCCTCAGGTTCCTGTGCATATTCAGATATGGTGTGTGAATGCATCCAGCAGTACCGACCCAGATTCACTGCTGGCTTGGGACTAATGGGTTCCCTCTCAGGATTCTCATCTATAAAATGGGGACATTTTAGCCCGTCCCCCCTACCTCCTAGGACTGCTGAGAAGCTTAGGTTTGTTGGTGCCCTGGAATTACCAAGACTACTATAGGACCAAATATAATTTGGCAGCATCAAAGGGACACACGGGGTGCCACCATGCTGGAAGAGCCCGGTTGTAACAAAACTCAATATAAGAAAAATTGGCACTTAAGACCTGGGAGTGAGCATTCGCAAGATATAGCAGGAGTGGTTGAAAGAGCACGCCGTCCAGAAGGCTGGCTCCAGTCTTATTGACCCTTCTGTTCAAAGCAAGTGTGTCCCTGTGGCTCCCTGCTCCCCCCACGCCAGACCTTCAATGTGCTTAGGCTTTCTCTTTCCCCAGCCGTGGGCTCTGCTGGCAAGCAGCTTGCCAGGGTCTGGTCAGGCCTGCAGCTGGAGTGGGCAGCAGGGACCACTAGTCATTGCTGATTGCCTGGGAGAGGAGAGCTGCTGTCCTCAGCAGCTCCCAGGCGAAGTGGGATGAGGGTACAAGGGCAGAGACGGAGATAACAAATGCTGCTCTCAGCCTGCCCATTTCTGGACAAGCTGCTCCGTGGTCCAGTCTGCAAAGATGACCACTGTGTGTGTGTGGAGCAGGGCATTCCCTTCCCCACCTGCCAGGAACTACATGCCCACCCTTTACACTGCCTTGCACCCTGGAAGCCACAGCCATCAGAATTAGGACCCTGATATGTCATGCCCCAAGCCCCTAGCAGGAGGCCTCCTGATAGAACTGCCAGGTCCCCACGGCCTGCATTCCTGGACATGGGGCAGCCCTTTCCACTCTGGCTCCAGCTTTGCCATGGTGAAAGTTCATCCTGTCATCAAGCTAACACATGCTGCGGGTGGCTCCCTAAGGATTCTTGCTGCTGCCTATGGGGCCTCAGGGGCCCGGCTGCCTGCCCTCAGGGCAGCCTGCAGTGACCTGAGGTGCAGTTCGGAGATCTAAGCTTGTCTACCCCACCCAGAGGTGTCTACCCCCGCAAGAGGCCCCAGATTCTCCAGGACCTCACCCTGACTTGGTTTCTGCAACCCACCCTCCTGCCCAATATGGCCCCCAGTCACCCACCTTTCCAGAGAAGCTGTGAGGACCACAGTTGGAGGGGACCATTGCCTCATCTACAAGGACAAACCTCCTCTACTCATGCAGTGGGGACTTAGTGGATGTGAAGATAAAGCCAGAGCAGAGAAATCTCTGGTTATTCTCAGAGGGAAAGGTGCTTGCTCAGGAGCCCAAGTGGTGGTGTTTCCCTACCAACATACCTGGCTCCCTGCCCTGGAGCCCCGATGCACGAATTCTTTCTCGGTCAGCGGGAAGGCAATTTTGTACAAGCTCCATAAAGGCGATTTGGCAATAACTATTACAACCAAAAAGTGTTGTTGTAATAACAAGAGACCTTTTGCCCCAGCAACTCCGCTGCTGAGCAATGTCTTGTGCTTGTGCAAAATGGCACGTGAACAAGATGATGAACAGAAGCATCATTTTCTAGTACTACCAACTCGGCATCCCCTCCAATGTCCATCCACAGGACCCGCTGAGACAGATTCCTGAAACATTCGCACAACGGGGTGTGGTGCAGCCCTAGGGAATTCTGGCGAAGATCTCCCTGGCCTGGCAGGGGAAGATGGCCACAATCGCCCGTCAGGACAAAGCAAGGGACAAGACGATACAGGCAGAATGTGCTGGGAAAGGGGACATGCGGGCAGCCCTGGTGGCCCAGTGGTTTGGCGCCGCCTTCGGCCCAGGGTGTGATCCTGGAGACCCGGGATCGAGTCCCACGTCGGGCTCCCGGTGCATGGAGCCTGCTTCTCCCTCTGCCTGTCTCTCTGCCTCTCTCTCTCTCTCTCTCTCTGTGTGTGTCTCTCATGAATAAAATAAAATCTTAAAAAAAAAAGAAAGGGGACATGCACTTGTTTGTATTGGACATATCATACACTGTTCATCATAGTTGCTTCTGGGGAGGGAACTGAGGAGATCAGAATCCAAGTGGGATGGGGGCTTTTCACCCACATACTTACTTGCTTGTCCCTTTGGAATTTTGAACAAGAGTATATGACCTATTTTGAATTAATAATGAATGTATAAATGAGTAAAATAAATGAATAAATGAATGAATGAATGATCATCCTTACTAAAGAAGCCTTTGTGTAGAGAGAAATATCATGCTGAATGTGAGGACCTATGTCTGGGAATGTGCCAGTATTTGAACAGGCTTTTACATGTGTGTGTCCAAGTGTGCACACTGATGGGGCCATCACTGTCCCGCTGAGGCCTAGTCTGCACGTCCCTAGACATGGTCTCTGCTGCTGTCCTTCTGTGCCAACCTCTTCTACCTGTCCCCTGTGCCCAAGGGACATCACTGCCTCACTGTGAGGGCCTTGAGATTAGAGACCACCTGTGTGCTTCGTCTCCTGACCCAAGCACAACAGGCACAGGAGTGGAACAGAGAAGTTGCTCTGGAAAGATTGTGGAATGAGAGAATGAACCCAGGAATGGATGAGGCTGATGCAGCCTGCCTTAAAAGGAAGGCCCCCTACTCCCCACCTTGTCCCAGCCTGTCACCTGGGTTCCAACACCAGGGCAAAGAATTCTGAGCTGGAAGTCAGGAGACCCAGGTTCTGCTGTCAGCATATCACATGACCTGTGCCAGGCCTCTACACTGCCCATACCTAAGTTTCCTCCCTGTCTTCCAGGACAATGATCATGCCTCCCTGGCAGGGGTGCTACTAGGTTCTGATCTATGGACCTGCCTGTTCTGGGTATTTCATGTAAGTGGCACCACACAATAGGTGTGTGCCCTCATGTATCCGGTTTCTATCACTTTAGCAGAATGTAGAATGTTTTCAACGTTCCTCTGCGTTGAAGCACGGATCTGTACTTTACTGTGATCAAATACTATTCCGCTGTATGGATAGACCATATTTTTTATTTATCACTCAATGGACATTAACATTATTTCCACCATTTGGCCATTATGAGTGATGTGGCTGGCCACCAACATTAGTCTCAGTGTGAACATGTTTTCAGGTCTCCCAGGGGTGTGGCTAATTTGAGCCCCAAGACCCTCACCAGAAGACCACAGCCCTGCAGGAGAGAGGCATCTCCGGGAGAGGGCATCTGGACCGAGGGTGGGAGGGAGGCCTGCATCTCTGCTCTGTTTTCCTGGGTCCATCTCTCAGTGAATGTCCTTGTGCCCTCCCACACCTTTGGTGGTGATGGCCATCGTCCGGATGGCTCCTTGATGGTTCACAAAGCACCCACACCACCAGCCTGTGTAACTGTGGCACTTAGGAGGTCGGCTGCGGCATGAGAGCCCCCATTTGACAATTGAGCAAACTGAGATGCAGAGGGGTAAGTGACCCGCCCAAAGCCACACAGATGACTTGAGTTCAGTTCTGCTGCCTCCTGCCAAGGGCACCGGAGAGAGCCTTGGTTCCAGAACCAAGAGAGGTATCCTGAGACTCAGGACTATCTCAGGGGCCTATTCCTTTCTAATCAAACTCGGAATGTTTAGAGCTCTCAGGAGAAGGTTGTTCCCACATCACCAACCTGCCTCTCACTGTACCAGGGTCCGGCCCTGGAGAACCTGTTCATGACCTATTTATGTACCTCATTACTTGGCAGTTTAAAAATGCAAGGCAAATAAGGTCTGATTCAATAGTCTGGCTCTGGCCTTGGGCATCTGATTCGTGGCAGATTTCCCAGAGGATTCTGATATGTATCTAAGTTTGAGGAATCCCTTCCAGTTTTATGCCTTTGGCTGTGTGTGTGTGTGTGTGGATGTGGGTGCCTGTAGGGACTCAAGTCTTTCCCTGTGTCCTCCCATCATGGCCAGATGATGGAAGCAAAGGCTCGGATTTTCTCCCCGGCCCTGGTGGACTGGATATGCCAGCAGGCTGGGCTTCGCACCCCCTCTCCCCTGCCTCTCAGCTGGTTCTCGGCCCTGCCCTCCCTCCTTTGTACTCAAGTGCTCACAGAACAGACACCCATTGACATCTGCAGCTGTAGTCCCTCCATTTTAGATGTATCTTTTCTTCACATCTTAACTTTATGCTATCAAGATGCATTTGGTGATTCTAATTAGAAGAACTTTTTTTCTTAGTGGTACATAAAATACTGGTATGTTTTACCGTTAAGGATCTCTTAGAGGAATGCCTGGGTAGCTCAGTTGTTTAAGCAACTGACTCTTGATATCAGCTCAGGTTTTGATCTCAGGGTCATGAGTTCAAGCCCTGCGTTGGGCTCCAAGCTGGGCGTGGAGTCTACTAAAAAAAAAAAAAAAAAAAAGTCTATCTTTGAGGTGAAGAAATACAGGAAGTGGTGAGCAACGAAAGCTGGAGAGAGTGCCCCATGTGGTACACACTGCCAGGCACCTCAGTGCACCGACTCGCTCCATCTTCTATTCAGGATGCAAGGGAAGTACTGGGGACAAAGTCTCCATTGTACAGATGTGGAAACTGAGACACAGGATTAATTAACTTGTTCTAGGTCACATAGCTAGTAAAGTGGCAGAGCCAAGACTTTAACACAGGCAGCCGGGCTCCATGTGTGTAACCTGCAGTCTTGTAGGAGTCCCCAGGTAAAGAATGGGGGGGGGGTTAACAGGGCAAAGGGGTGTGCTTCAAGCAAGGGTACCAACCTAAGTGACACAGCTCACGCCCAAAGAACTTGGATGGCAAAGGGGGCAAGTGAGGCCTGAGCAGGGGTCCTAGGGTTTATGGACCTACAGGCTGGGCAAAAACTAGATTTGATTTTAGGTGTCATGGGAGCCACTGGTGCATTTTAACATTTTATGAGTATCTGGCTTCTGTGTGCAGGACAAACTGTAGGGAGCATCGGTGGAAGCAGAGCCCAGATAAAGAGATGACCCCATGGGATTTAGGTAATGAGGGAGGGAGGAGAGAAGGATGAGACCCAGAGGAGTTTTAGAGACTGACACCAGGCCTCAGAATAGTTCCCAACCGGGGAGGCCTGGGTGGCTCAGCAGTTCAGCATCTGCCTTCAGCTCAGAGCGTGATCCCGGGTCCAGGATCAAGTCCCACATGGGGCTCCCTGTGAGGAGCCTGCTCCTCCTCTGCCTGTGTCTCTGCCTCTCTGTGTCTCTCATGAATGAATAAATAAATAAATAAATCTTAAAAAAAAAAGAACAGTTCCCAACCAGGGCCAGTCCCCCCTACTCCCCCACCTGGGGACATGTGGTAACATCTGCAAACCTTTTTGACTGCCACAACTGGTAGAGGGGAGTGCTACTGGCACTTAATGGGTAGAGGCGGGGGATGAAGGCGCCCCCTACCCCAACACACAGCACTCATTCAGCCCCAAATTTCCATGTTGTCGAAGTGCAGAAAGCCATAGGGCTGAGGGGACAGCCGTGCCCAGGGACACCTGGGCAGGTGGTCAGGACAGGCACAGCTCTGCATGAAGGAAGACCTTCTCCGAGGCAGAGCTCTCTCATGATGAAAGGAGTCATCACAGGAGGAAGTATGACTCTGTCCAAGTGTAAGCTGGAGACCTATTCTGGGTGGGCGGCTGGCTACCTCTCTACCTCTGACTTCAGTTAAGAGACCCCAGAGTGTTAGGAGGGAGGGCGTGAAGTCCCTGGTGATGTTGACAGGGCTGTGGAGGAACTGAGGGCTGTTCCAGGTGTGAGTGGGAGGTGTCCTGCGCTGCCCTGGGGCCTGCAACATTTCCTGACACCAGTTCACAGCCTGGCCACAGCACCCCATCCCTTCTCAGGCCTTGGCCTGTGTAGACACTGTTTGCTCCGGGAGGATGAAACCTGCACAGGGGAAACCCAGCTCTGGGGCTGGTCTTCAGTATGAGGTGAGATCAGTGACTCCCATGTGAAATATTGCCTGATTCTTCATCATTAGCTCTTTAGGAAGACTGTAGTGTGAGTTTAGGAAGCTGCAAAGCCCGGAAGGTTTCCTAATTTTGCTTGAAATTCCATCCATAGATGCTAATTCATAAAATCACACGAAGAACTGATAAAAACTCAGAAATCTACACATAGTTGGGTACCGGGGTGGCTAAGTTGTTGAGTGTCTGCCTTTGGCTCAGGTCATCATCCTGGGGTCCTGGGATCAAGTCCCACATCGGGCTTCCCGCAGTGAGCCTTCTCTCCCTGCCTATGTCTCTGCCTCTCTCAGTGTGTCTCTCATGAATAAATAAATAAAATCTTAAAAAAAAAAAAACAAACAAATACAAATCTACACGCTTCTGACAGGGGAGTGCAGAGGCTTGTGAATGTGTGTGCGAGCGTTACCTATCTTCTGCCCCTCCCAAGATACCAGTGGGGCCTGGGCTGTAAAGATGTGTGGAAGAGCGAGAGGGTGTCCCGGGAGGAAGCGGGAGGAAGCGGGAAGGGCATCTGCAGGCCCCACCCAGCCCCGGGCCTGCGGGCTCCCAGCCTGGGGCAGGCAAAGTCAAAGCGCATGCCATCTCGCCCTCTGCTGGCCACGTGCGGGTACTGCCCACCCTCTGCGGCGGGGAATGCACCCGGCCGCAGTGAGCATCAATCCTAAAACATTGCGCACAGAATTGCAGCAAATCAGGGCAGCGTCCCACTAGTGTCAATAACGCTGAGGTTGAGAAACCCTTCTGGAGGGCTGCCTGGCCAGGGGGGATCAGGAAGGGCAGTGGACGGGATAGGCACAGACCCTGCTTGACTTTGCTCACCCTGTGGGGCTCCTTGCAGAGGAAGCAAATATGGGCAGGCCACCTCCCTGCACCTGGACGCCCACCTGTCACCCCTCACGAGCATGGAACTCTCTGCCAGTCAACTTCCTGCCCTTCCCCCAGCCCCTCCCCTGATGCCCTACTGCCCTGCCCTGCCTGCCCCACCCTTGCCCCTTGCCCCGGAGGCCCTGCTCACTGTGGGGCTTGTGGCTTTGTACCCCCGCCGTTGCCCAGCTTTTGCTAGTCCTCACCTGGCTCCTGGACTCTCAGAACGGGGCACAGCAGGAGCCTTGAGTCCCCCGTTGAGTACCGGGGAGTCAGTGAGCTGTTTACCTCCGTAAGCCTGTGTCCTCACTCCCTCCCCCTTTACCTGCTGCGGACCTAATTCCAGAAAGGACAGGAGGAGGTGGAGCTCCAGAATGGGGTGGGAGGAGCTGGGCAGGTGTGAAGGTCAGGGCGACAACAGGGCTCTGGGCTGTCACAGTCCTCCCCTGACCACAGCCACGTGCACGCTTCTCCATGCTCCCCACTGACTCAGTGATAAGACTAGCTCCTAGTTCACTGCCAACCTACATGGTGCTTTCCTGCTGTCTCAGCAGGTCTGTCCAACTGGCTGATGTGTGTGGCGTCATCACCACTTCACATACGAGGACATGAAGGCTAAGAGAGGCTGTGGAACTCTCCCAAGGCCACAGTGGTCTGTGAGCTAGTCTGTCTTGCTCCAGAGGCCGCGCTTTATGCCTTTCTTCTCCCCTGTTTCCAGGGGATGGCCAACTGCCCCTGCCTGGCACCATTCGGTGTTCCCCACTACCTGCCCCCCCCCCAGTGCCATCTGGCCAATAAGCCGGCCTTGCCCAGCTGCTTAAGCCCCAAGGTTCGGTTTGTCTGGAATCCATTAAAGGAGCCAATGGGTCTGTTCTCTCAAATCCGAGGATCTGCTTTACTCAGGACTGATATTTGAGTCCAGGGTCACAATGACAGGAGATGCCCCAAGTCAGAGTGAGAGTTTCAAATGTGCTCAGAGTTGGAGGGGTCAGTCTAGATACACGGAGAGGCTGAGGCTCAGAATGGGGCGAGGTTTTGCTCAAGGACACACAGCAATCTGGGGTTGGAGGCAGGACAGAACTGAGAACCAGCGCAGGGCTCTCTCCCCTGCTCCTTCACCCGTCCTTAATGCACACGCTTTAAAACCAGGAGAACCTGTCACGTGGAGTCGGTCACAGATTCGTCCCTCTCAGGGTGTCATTCTCCCCATCTAATGACGTGTGAGGCTCGACGGTCTCAGGACTGTGAGTTTATTACATTTGCCCTCTACCTGGCTGCTGAGGGCTTTACACCTGTAAGACACATATGTGTGCCACACTATTTGCCCACGGAGCCTCTTCAAACCCTGATACTTCCCAACCCTGGGAAACCATGGCCAGAGAGAATCTGGACTCTTCCACAGGCCACAGAGTGGTGAAGCCCAGTATTCTGCTCCCCGCACCCTGGGCCAGCTTCGGCGTCGGGGCAGTCCCAGCTCTCACCGTGACGGGGAAGTAGTCCCTCATGTACTTCCACATGAAGCAGCGCCTCAGGGCTTGGACGGGCCTGCCCCCCTGCCTCGGCGTGTCGCGGTCCAGGTACCACCAGGCGGCATACAGGACGCTGACCAACCAGAACCTTGTGAACAGGAGGCCTACGAAGACCACAGTGCAGATCTGGGCTGGGGAGGGAAGCAGGAGCTGTCAGAGGCCCGAGAGGAAGGGGGTGAGACTGTCCCCACCGAGTCCGCCGTGTGCCGGGCACCAGGCCCGCTGTCCCGTCCAGCGCGTGGCCCGCGGCCCGGGGAGGGAGACGCGGCTTCCCCACCTCGCCAAGCCTCCCTGGGAGCCCGGATTCGAAACCAGACAGGCCCAGCTTCAAAACTCGTCCCTCCCACCGTCCTGGCTCCCCTGCTCGCTCCGGTCTTGCCGCTCTCGCTCCGTCTGCGGCAAAGCAGTCAGTCTGCCGGCACCAGGGCTCAGTACATGCCGGGTGGGTAACCGACTGGAGCATCTGTGCCAGGGTTCCAGCTTCGGGGAGCTCAGGCCCAGTGAGGAGCTGCCCCCCTGACCTACAGTTCTGAGTGCCCCGCCGTAGGCTGATCCCAGCTTCATCTCCGGGTCCGCTGCTCTGTGGGCCATCCCTAATCTGATGCTGATGGAAAGAATATTCCCAGAGAACAGGGCTCCTTCCCCATCCTATTTCCTCACTCAGCACCACGCACTCATCTTAAACAGGTCAGCATCCAGTTGTTTGTCCTATTTGGAAGTAGGGTAGATTGGGCCTGTCATTCCTGGCAGGTTGCCTGGAGGAGGGGACTTCGGCCCAGTCTGAAACAGTGGTGGAATTCATGAGCCGGATGATGTAGGCAGGGGCTCCTAGATGTTCACTTTGCACAGAGCACCTCTGATGTGCCAGATGCTGGTGGCAAGGCCATGAACAACAGACACAAAGTCCTGCCATCGGAGAGCTGACTTTCCAGCTCACACTGGGGGCACTTTGTTTCTTAAACTGTTATTGTGATAAAACATGCCTAACATAAGATTTATCACCTTAACCATTTTTAAGCACATAGTTCAGTGGCAATAAGCCCAATCACATTGCTGGGTAGCCGTCACTACCACCCGTCCAGGGGACCCCTCATCTTCCCAAACTGAACCTCTGTACCCTCTAAACACTGACTCCCCACACCCCCTCTCCCAGCCCCTGCTGGTTGGCCCTTTTCTGTTCTACAAATTTGACTATTCTGGGAACCTCATATAAAAATCATGAAGTATTTGTCTTTATGTGACTGGCTTATGCCACTTAGCCCCATGCCCATCATCCATGCTGTAGCTTGTAGTCAGAATCCCCTTCCTTATCCCCCAGAATATTCCTACATAATATTCTAATGTACATATAGACCACATTTTGTGTATCCATTCATCTGCCACTTGGGCCCCTTCCACCTTTGCACTTTATTTTAAAATGCCATTGAGGGCAGCCCAGGTGGCTCAGCGGTTTGGTTTAGCGCTAACTTCAGCCTAGGGCATGATTCTGAGGACTCTGGATCGAGTCCCACGTCGGGCTCCCTGCATGGAGCCTGCTTCTCCCTCTGCCTATGTCTCTGCCTCTCTCTCTGGGTCTCTCATGAATAAAATAAAATCTTTTAAAAAATGACATTGAGGGCAGCCCCGGTGGCGCAGCAGTTTGGCGCCGCCTGTGGCCTGGGTTGTGATCCTGGGGACCCGGGATCGAGTCCCACATTGGGCTCCCTGTGTGGAGCCTGCTTCTCCCTCTGCCTGTGTCTCTGCCTCTCTCTCTCTGTGTCTAAGAATAAATAAATAAAATCTTTTAAAAATGACATTGAATTAATTACTAATAATGTAAAATGGGGAGGTTTCATATACCAACCCTCATATCTGATATCTCTTGAACAACTAGAAGACATGGTAGGCCAGAGTCATGGCTCTAACAGGCAGCCCCTCCCTCCAGGCATTTCCTCCCATTCCCAGACCTGTGCTTTATCCTCACAGAGGCCTTCCAGTTCCTCAAGGGGTATAGGGGAGGACCATTAACCAGTTGGCGGGTTATTTACCTTTTATTTGTCTTAAATATTTTTAATAAAAACTCTGAAAGAGAAAGTCGTAGAAGAAGGGGAATGAAATGCCACCATTTGTGTGAAAAAGAACCCTGGGACGTATATACGTGGCTGCAGACTCACAGAGGAAGAAAGGACCCCACAGCTCCGGAAGAAGGAAACGGGATGTGGAAGATGAGGTTGGCAGGAAGCTTGAGTAAGCTTTGTTTATTCCCTTTTCCATATTAAAAATGTTTAATGTGGAAAAAAAAATAGATAATCTCAGCCAGGCCTCTTTCCCCTTGGGCAAAATCCGAAGTCTGCATGGGTGGCTCCTACTCTAAGAACACCAGCTCCAGAGAATTAAACACAAATGGTTGATCATGGCTATCTGAAGGGTATGATTTGGGGAAGTCTTTTGCTTTTAGGACACACATCATGTTTGAATGTTTTACAATGGCATGTATTAGTTCTGCAGGCAGAAAAAGGGGTTAGGATAAAACACACAGACATTTGCACTTGACCAGAAAGGTCTTCCCTATACCCAACAGCCCTCACCCTTAGCTTATCCATCAACTCCTTTTAGCAGGCAAAACTGATGACTATCAGGTCACTTAGGAAGGGAGAAACTTTATTTCACTTAATCCTCACAACTCCAGGAGGGAAAAGATTTTATTATTTTTTTTTTCATTTATTTATGATAGCTACAGAGAGAGAGAGAGGCAGAGACACAGGCAGAGGGAGAAGCAGGCTCCATGCACCCGCGAGCCCAACGTGGGATTCGATCCCGGGTCTCCAGGATCGCGCCCTGGGCCAAAGGCAGGCGCCAAACCGCTGCGCCACCCAGGGATCCCAGAAAAAATTTTAAATCCCACTTTACAAAGGTCCAGAGATGGTATGCTAATTGGCTAAGGTCACACAACAAAGTGGTAGGAGGGGACCTAGGATTCAAATCTACATCTTGCTACATCTTGTTCCCATTTATTCACTCAACAAACATCCATGGACTCCCACTCTTGAAGGAGCAGGAGATGCAGTTGAGGGCTAGACAAACTGTTTGAATGGACTTAACTTCTGGTGTGAGCTATAGAGAGGACACGCAGTAAATAAGTTACCCACTTGGGAAATATTTGGCTATTGGCCCTGAGTCCTTAGTGACGGGTCCTAGTTGACTTCTGCAGCCAATTCTCTGGCCTCTACCACTCTCTGAAATGCCTCCTCTGACTCCAGTGTGAACCAGCTGTTTGGTAAATGTGTGTAGCCTCCACTCCTCCGCTGGAAGCCCTGACTCTCTGGCCAGCCTTTCAATCCTGCCCTGTGGACTCCATCTCCTAAACAGCTCCTGAATGGGGCCACTTCTCTCCACCCACTGCCAGTTTCCCTAGACCAGCATTGGTGACCTTTATCCTAAAGGGCTAGACTGTAAATATTTTAGACTTCGCAGCTCAAGAGGCAACTTGGATGATATTACATAGGTACCTAACCATTTAAAACGCAATCACTTGAGACACCTGGGTGGCTCAGCAGGTTAAGCCTCTGCCTTTGGCTCAGGTTGTGATCCTTGAGTCCTGGAATCCCGTCCCTCATGGGACTCCCTGCTCAATGGGGAGCCTGCTTCTGCCCCTCCCCCTGCTCATGCTTTCTCTCTCTCTTAAATGAATAAAAGCTTTTAAAACATAAATCAAATAAAACACAATACTTAAAAAATCTAAAAATCCTTCTTAGCTCATAAACTATACAAATATAAAAACAGTCAGGGGGCTGGGTTTGGCCCCTGTGCCCTGATGTAGATTGTGACTGCTCCCTGCCATCGGCCCATAACCCCACACTCCAAACACCGTAGATACCCCCGCTGCAGTCACAGGGACCTTCAGCACACGGATTGGACCTTGTCACTCCCCTACCTAAAGCCCTTCTGAGGCTCCCCTTTGCCCCCAGGATAAGGGATACCATAACACCTCCTACTCCCGGCCCCTGTGGGCCCAGATCCCTTTGCCCAGCTGCCTTCCCTCTAGTCTTCCAGACCCAGGGCTACTTGATCTCTCTGGGTTAGTCCTGACATCTCCCGGCTCCTATGCCTGGGACCTGCAGAGCTGGGGTGTGGAGGGGGTGGGGTGCTGAGGCCAACCCAGTCAAACTCACTCCTGCCTGCAAAGCTTACACAAAGCACACTGCACCTCACGAACCTTATCCCCTGTGATCCCTGGGATGCAGCCTACCTCTAGGCCCCAGGTGACCTTTGTCCAGGAGCCTGCAGACAGGTAGTATGCCCTGGGCTAGGCCTCCCTCCTGGGCTCTCTCCACCCACCCTCAGCCCCTTAGCCCCACCTCCTCCCACCCCCTCTGCCCTCTCTCCTCTCTCTGCCCCTCCTGAGCTTTCTTCCTTTGGCTATAGAAGGAGTCCAGGACTGGAGACCTACTACCTTCTCTGCCCATCTGGGTAATGGGGATAACCAGAGATAGTTGAAATATTTAAGACCCCTTGGACAGAGACACAGATCATTCATAAGGAATACAGGGTGCTGGAGCCCTGCTTTGCTGGGGGTCAATCGTTCACCTACAGAATTGCCAGGAGGTTCTGAGGGAGCACCTGGGGTCTGTGTGTGTATGTGTGTGAAATGGCTGTTGGCCAACCTGTACAGAGCATACCCGTGTTTTAAAGCCAGTGGCATCGGTGTACAGGCCAAACATCAGCCCCAGGGGAAGCCATGCCTCCCCAGTTTGTGAAGATCCCACAAACCCCCACTCTCTTCCTATGCTCAGCCCCAGGTCCTCCTCGAAAGTGTTCCCTTTAGAGAGTGGGTTTGGGCAAGTGTAGTCTCCCTGGCCACGATCAATATGCTCGCTGTGGGGGTGGGGTGAGTAGGGGGACCTAAGCATACTTCCCGTGGGACCCAAGCCCAAGGGTTGGGCCTGGTCTGCCCCGAGCAGCACAGGCACACTCGTTACTTCATCCCACAAGAGCTCTGCAAGGTCAGCAGTGGTATTCCCATCCCACAGCTGACGAACCACACAGGTCAGGCCTGAGTCTGGTAGGATCACACTGGCTGGGCAGTTGACCAGTCCCGACTCGCCTGGGACCCCACTCACACCCCAGTCCCCTGGCAGTCCATACCTTCTATTCCACTCCTATTTATTTCCCTGTTCCCTTCACTTTCCCCACTGCCAGTCTGTTTCCGCCTCTCTCAAAGGAAGGAAGGAGATGCGTTCCCTCTGAGAAACCCCGAGCCTGGAACTTCCCCACAATCCCCTAGATCTTGCCCACAGCAGTACCAGGCGTCCAGAGACAGGGTCTCTGTCCTTATACTAAAGTGGAACCCACACCCCAGGAAAGCTCAGTAACCTGTCCAAAGCCACAAGTGATGGCTTCTATCCCACCCGATCCCCATGCCCTTCCACACCCTCCAGAGGACTCTGGGCAAGGAAGAGACTGTCTGGGCAGGGGCTCTGAGTGCAGCAAAGTCCCCTTGAGGACAAATGTCTTTCCACTATCAATACACCATGTGCACCTAGGGTGGCAGGTGCCTGTGGTCTCCCATCCCCCAGTCCAGCTCGCCTTACCCAGGGCCAGGAAGGAGAAGACCCACTGCAGGACCATGAAGGTCTGCAGCCTGCGCTCCCATGGCACGAACAGTGGTGCAAACTTCACCATGCTGGCTCCTCTGACGGCTCCAGAGGCTTCTCTGAGCACTGCAGTGATCTGAGGCACCAACTGGTTTTTGTTGATATTGGAAATTGCATAAGCATTTGTAGGGGGGGTGGGCGGAGCGTGCCTCACCCAGCCCCACCCAGCCTCAAGGCCTCTGCCCCTACCAGGGCTGGGACCTGCTTCCAAGGAGAAACCTTTGAATCCACTTGCCCTGGGCCTAGCTGAAGGAAGGAGGAACAAAAGGAAGTGTATAAGCATTATCCAAGGCAGTTGCCTCCTCAGGCGATGCCTTATCTGCCAATGACTTTCCTCTGTTTGCTTGAATCTTGCCCTTCACTTGGAAGGTGAAACCCCAAGTAGAATAATGCAATCCTGTCTTCATCTGTCCAAGGAGCCGACTCTGGTAGTTATCTCCTCTCCCTCCTACCCATTGACTGCTCCCCCTCCACAAATGTACTGTAACAGCTCTCACCTAAACATTCCTTGACCCCACTATCTCCTCCACCTCCTGCCCTATTTCTCAGCTTGATCACTGCCTCCTCCTTGAATCCACCTGGCCAGTGAATGGCACACTCTTCTGGTTTCCTTCCTAGTTCTCTGGCAGCTCCGTGGTCTCCTTAATGACTCTTATCCCTTACCAGATTAAATGTTTGAGCACCGTCCTGCCCCCTCAGTCTTTGGGTCTTCTCTCTTTTCTTCACACTCCCTCTCTCAGAGATCTCATCCACGCTCATGGCCTTGTATTCTATCTACATCATGAAGACTTTCAAATCTCCAGCTCTGACATTCCTCTGGGACTCCAGACTAGAATAACTAGGTGGCTACTTGACATCTTCACTTGAAAGCCTGCTGGGCAGCTCCATCATAGAATGTCTAAGACCAAATGTGATTTCCTGTCACCTGCTCATGCCAACCTTTCATCTCAGTGAAGGGTAGCTCCATGAACTTGGCTTCTCAGGCCAAAGCCTTAGAGTCACACTAGACTCTTTCCATCCCCCTCCCACATTTATTGGTCGATTCTCCTAAATCTCTTTTACATATACCCTTTGAATTGAAGTGTATTGAACATATAGTAAAATGCACAAATCCTAAGGATACAGAGTAACACACCTCCACAAAGTGAACACACTCACAGAACTCTGATCAATGGAAAATGACCAGCACCCCACGTCCTCGCCAGCCACTCTTCTCCTCCCTTGGGTCCTCACCATCCTTATCTCTGCTTTGGAACTTCATGAAAAGCAAATCTTACAGAATATACTCTTTGGAGATTGGCTTCTTTGGCTCAAGATTATATTTTTGAGTCATCTATGATATAGGAAATGGTGGGGTTCAGAGTTGACAGCTAAGAAAGAATTCTTAACACATCTTTGGTGCAAAAGGTCTTTTATTAAAGCACAGGACCTCTGGGCAGAAAGAGCTGCACCAGGGTTGAGACTGATTCTATACTTTCAAGTTGGGAGGAGGTCAGGGACAGCATAAGTCCTAAGGAATTTTGGATGCAGGTCTCCAGGACTTCGAGGGGGCTAGCTAGTGTTAGGAAAAGATCACTTATTACTGTCTAATAAAACCTTAGTCGTGAGACCCTTCAGATGAATCAGTGGGCCATATGCTTGGAGGATGGTTGTTAACATATATCTTGGGAAAGGGCATCTGGGTGGCTCAGTCAGTTGAGGGGCCTAGTCTTGATTTCAACTCAGGTCATGATCTCAGGGTCCTGGGAATCGAGCCTGGCATCAGGCTCCATGCTCAGCAGGGAGTCTGCTTGTCCCTCTCTCTCTGCTCCCCTCCCAACCCCCCTACCCCCCACACCCACTGATGCTCTCTCTCTAAAATAAATAAATAGGGCAGCCCCGGTGGCCCAGCTGTTTAGCGCCACCTTCAGCTTGGGGTGTGATCCTGAAGACCCGGGATCAAGTCCCACCTCGGGCTCCCTGCATGGAGCCTGCTTCTCCCTCCGCCTGTGTCTCTGCCTCTCTCTCTGTCTGTCATGAATGAATAAATAAAATCTTTAAAAATAAATAAATTAATTAATTAATTAATTAATTAAAATCTTTAAAAAACATATATTCTGTCAAGTAGAGATGAAAGAAATTTCTAAAGGCCTTTTTACATGATAAAGCAGGTTTATAGGATCCCGAGGGATCAAGATAATGTTAAGCTAAGATCATCTTTTGCTCTTAGTGAAGTTTAACATGGAGGCAGCTGAGTGCGTAGAGGAAGGTCACTCTGCCTATTCTAAGGACTTGCCAATGGCTGTAAGTAGTAAGGAAATTTAATGTTTTCTTTTGCCTTTGTTTCCCACATTAATCTAAATTGCATTTCTAGTACATTTGTCCTTGTGGCCATATAGGATTAACTGTGTGAGTGTGTCACAATTCATTTCAGTGCTGTGAGTAATTAAAGTTGTCACGTGTTTCTGGCTATTATGAATTGTACTGCTATGGACAGTCTTCCTCCCCGCCCAGTTTTAGTGAGAAATACTTGCCATGCATCATTGTATACGTTTATTTATTTCTATTTTTTTATTTCTTAAAGATTTTATTTATTCACAACAGACACACACAGAGAGAGAGGGAGGCAGAGACACAGGCAGAGGGAGAAGCAGGCTCCATGCAGGGAGCCTGATGTGGGACTCGATCCCAGGTCTCCAGGATCAGGCCCTGGGCCAGAGGCGGCACTAAACCGCTGAGCCACCAGGGCTGGCCACTGTATACGTTTAAGGTGCACAGCATGATGATTTGATTGATGTATTTTGTGAAATGATTGTCACAATAGGATTAGTTATGAATTATCATCTCGTATAGATACAACAAAAGGAAAGGAGGGACGCCTGGGTGGCTCAGCGGTTGAGTGTCTGCCTTTGGCTCAGGGTGTGATCCTGGGTCCTGCAATCGAGTCCTACATCAGGCTCCCTCTTAGAAGCCTGCTTCTCTCTGCCTATGTCTCTGCCCTCCCCAACCCCCCCTCATGAGTAAATAAATAAATCTTAAAAAAAAAAGAAAGAAAGAAAGAAAGAAAGAAAGAAAGAAAGAAAGAAAGAAGGAAAACTGTCTTTGTGATGAAAACTCTTAGGATCTATTCTGTTAATCCCTTTACTATGTACGGTACAGCAGTATGGGTATTTTTGTCACTGTCTTTTGGTACATATTGGTGTATATTTCTGCTGAATGTGTGTGTGCGGGGGAATAGAATTCTGCCCGACATGAGAGTTCTGCTTGCTTCACATCCTTCTCAACATTTTGAACATTTTAATGAGTGGTCAGAGGGGCCTCATTGTAGTTCTACGATTTTCCTAATGCCAAATGAGGTTGAGCACATTTTAATGTGTTTATTGGCCATTTGGGTTTCATTTTCTGTGAAGTCCTTATTCAAGTATTTTGATGACTTAAATATCTCTTGCTTTGGAAGAGCTATTTTTGGAAGAGCTGTTTTCCACCTCCACAGCCAGCCCCTTTGACCAACTTGATACCAGCTTTTCTATTGATCCCTCTGTCACTATACCCATTGGCCCTCCCAGTCTCAGCACAGCTGGATCAAAGATTGTAAATGCTTAAGCTTGGGAACAGTGCCAAACTATTTTCCAAAATGGTAGCATAAGTTTACATTCTGATCGGGAATATATGAGAGATCCCATAGATGCATACCTTCTCTCCCTCTCTGACCCTTGGTATGGTTAGATTTCTTATTTTTAGCTGGAGTGTGAAGTAATATCTTGTTGTGGTCCTGAGTTGCATTTCCTGATCACTAATGGTAAAACATGTCTTTATTTGTAGGCATTTCCTCTGCTGTGAAAAGTTCATTCTTAATTTTTGCCATTTCTCTATAGTGTTGTTTTTGGGTTTTGCCTAAATTTAAAGACGTTGTTCTATGCACTTGTTACTAGTTCTTGGTTGGTTACATATATTGTGACTCTCTTCATATTTAGCTTGTCTTTTCAGGTGTCATTTGATGAACAAAAGCATTCTTAATTTTAAAATAGTCATGCTTATTTGTTTTTTATTCAATAGACATAACTTGGTCTGATTTAAGAAATCTCTTCCTCTGTATTTTTCATTAAGAATTTCAAGTTTTGTTTTCATATGTAAGTTCTTGATTCATCTGGATTTTTGTAGAGTATGAAGCGGGTTCCACTTTTTTCTTTTAAAATAGATGATCATTCCTCCAGTCCTGTCTGTTTCTCCTGCCTAAAGGACATCTGGACACTTTGAATTTTTCCATAAAACTGATCATTAAATCTTTTAGAACTGTTAGGAAACAAGGAAACAAGGCCTTCCCGTTAGACTTTTCCCTGATTCCAATTACCTTAAGTTTGCCCAAATTTGTGGGTGGCTTCATCCCCTCGACTAAACATTTAGTCATTGTTAGGTTTACATCACAGAAGCACTGAAATCCAGTCCAATAAAATAAGAACCAGCCGTGAAAAAATAAATAAAATAAAATAAAATAAAATAAAATAGATGATCATCTTTTGCGGTTCCATTTGTTGAACACATCTTCCTCCTCCCCAATGGTGTAACATAGTACTTCTATCATACAACAGCATTCCATACACAGTGGGTCTGACTCAGGGTTTTTCTTCTCTTCAATTTATCTATTTTGGCCAGTGTCATACCATCCTAATTGTTTAGCTCTCATCTCTGGGAGCACAAGCCTCCTCTCTGCACTTCTATCTTAGAAATGTCTGGGCTAGGGATGCCTAGGTGTCTCAGCGGTTTAGCGCCTGCCCATCACCCAGGGCATGGTCCTGGAGTCCCGAGATCGAGTCCGCATCAGGCTCCCTACATGGAGCCTGCTTTTCCCTCTGCCTATGTCTCTGCCTTTCTCTCTGTGTGTCTCTCATGAATAAATAAAGAAAATCTTAAAAAAAAAAAAAGAAATGTCTAGGCTATAATTATGTCTTTACCCTTCCATTTACATTTTTTAATCATCTTGACAAATTACAAAATAAACTCTCTTAAAACATTGCAGTTCATAAAATGTTGATTCCACAGTTCATTTTG